AAAAAGAGGACTATCCTTCAAAAAATTTGTTTGGAGTGCCGACTCTTCAACGTAGTGGTTAGATCCTCTTTGCTGAGCAGCTTTTAAGTTAGAGAGTTCTATTGTAATCTGAAAAATGTGTTGCCCGTGCGATTTGACATTTATTTATTTAGAAATCGCACGGGCAACACATTTTTCAACGAATTATACAGATTAAAAATAAATTATATTTCACAATATATAACACTGAATTGCCAATTAAATAAACTAAATATTACATATAAATTAATAAATTCACATTCGTCAGTGTAGGTATTTTATATGTTTCCTTTTGTGTTTTCAGAGACATGACTCGTGTTCATAGTTGTCTCGTGGACGGTTGTTCGTCCACATCATTGACATCACACTTGTGCCGGTGGCCTCGCAGCGTTGAACTGGAACGAGTATGGATAGACCTTCTAAAGTCTCACAGCTCAAGATTAACATCTACGCTTACGCACCGGAACCGCATTCATAGGCATGCCTATGTGAGTTATTTTACACTGTAAAAGCTATCTCCGTGGTTTAACGATTTATTACCTGCATGCCCGCCTGTAGCAAATATTTTTGTAATGAGTTTAAAGTTATGTAAATACATAATTATGTGCTCAACTCTGTAGCACAAACTGTTTACAGGAAATTAAAATGTAAACAGATATAATGCACAACAGTATTTTCGTACATCATCATCAGCATCAACCGATAGCACGTCCCACTGCTGGGCACGGGACTGCACTAAAGAAAACTCAGGCCCGGTGCGGGTTGGGGACTTTTACACATGCGAGATAGCATTTTATCAAACAACCTATACTGGGCAACCTGAACTATAGACAATAGTATGGTCCTTGGAACTTGGACATGAATTATCACCAACCAAGGCTTTATGTCTACAACACCACAATAAATAAATTCATTTACTAAAGTTCACAATAATTATGTGATGCAATATATTAGTATAATAAAATAAACGATAAAGCGAAGTGTTGTTGCGGAGGAGTAGCAAGGCAATTAATTTATCATTGAATTTATTTGTTTTTATGTCAAATCCAAACTAATATTAATTAAACATGTGAAAGTAACTTTATTCTGATGAATTTTGAAAACTTTAGAGATAGATAGGTAGGATCTAGGAGAATGTCCTATGTCCGTAGGCTAAATACTTTTGTCACAAAAATCAAGTCATAAAGAGGGTGAAATACAAATGAATTGAATGGAGAACTCCAATAAAACTATGAAGATTAGTATAGTGCAGTTGGCTACTTGAAGCATCTCATCATCTAATTCCACGCAGACGAAGTTACGGGCACCAGCTAAATAATAAAGTCTAAAAATACGCATTCAATATATGTACCTACTGTATGCTGTATGACAAGTAAGTACTTACCCATTTGTACTAGTTGTTGCATGATAATAGTCTTGGGGCCCTTTTGCAAGACTCCATATAAGTACACTATATATTCTCAGGGACTTTATGGAAAAAAGATTAAGTTCTCAGATTTCTAGGCTTGTTCCTATAGAATCTTGTCTCATAAAACTTGAAGCCTTAGCGCCCAGTTACATGAGAAGAAAGTTTTCGCGCGGCCGCCGCACGGCGGTTACCACGCCTTCATGAACATTAATGGCAAATCTGAATTTTATTTATTGTGCAACAATATTTAAATTCGTCTCAACAAAAATACCGCGCGGCCGCCGCGTAGATCAAATTCAAGCTAGGCTAACCCGCGTGCCCGGAACGCTCATTTAAATTAAAACGTAAAAGCTAAACAAATAGAGCGTATTTTGCCATGACAGCTAAACGCACGCGGTCGCTGCGCGGCGGCAACGCTGACTCCGCTCTTCGACCGCGCGGGGTGAGCGCGATGTTTTGATGATGATTCGTGTCGAATAAATGCAGGTTACAGGTAAAAACATGCACAATCCAAAATTGAATTATTCCAATAGTTCCGGACACATAATTCGAGCCACCACGCATTTTCAGTATTAAGTGCCCTAAGCTTAAACAATGTTTGATTGATCAAAAACTATTATGCAATTTCAAACTAGATACTAAACGTCTTACCATAAGTCCTTGTTGGGAATTTGGATTTGCAAAACCAGGGGATAACTTTTTCTTTAATCATAACACTATTTTTGTATTCTAGCCCTGTATGGCAAAAATGCAAGGTGGCTCGAATTATGTGTTCGGGAGTAGATATTCAATAATTGTAATTTGATATGTAAGTACTATACCTACAAAAATGTTGTACATTTCAGGTTTGCCATCTTCACTTTGAGGAGAAATTTATTAAGAATGATCATGCAAGAGTGCCACTGTCATGGCCCACATTATTTTCTGAAGAGGAAATTTCAAGTAGAAGACCCACTCGTCCTGTTACTGTCTGTAAGTATTCAATATTTCGGAATCTATGTGTAATATCGTCGCCTTACTTTCTCAAACGCGTATCTTAAAGCACAAAGGAACTGAAATGCAAAAAATGGATTACTTTAAATCGCTCTCCTGTAATATTTTCCAAATTCATGTTTTCCACTTCCACACAAATCCACACTTTTCCTTTTCATTGTCAAGTAGGATATGATTTATACACTCTCTTTCTTACATTTTAGTCCGACCAGTGGGAGACCATTCTTATGCTGTGGCACCATGGACCAATGTAGAGTTGGTGCCACAGAAAAGAAAATGGGCCAAGAGTCACAGTAAGTATATTTATTTATACTATGCACGGTGATTCACGCTCCATACTAAGGCGGTCATAAATACGTAACTCCGAAATTATTATTATTTTTTTATTTTATTACGTTAAAATATGATTAGGTAAACGTAAATTAATAAAATTATACATTTTAAAAAATATTTGACAATATTTAGGTGTAAAAATGTCTCGCAGTAATTTTGTTTTTAGACGATGTATCTAAAACATTTTATACTGCGACTTTTAATGGTAAAACTGTGTAAATAATGATTATTTGTATTAACAATAACCACAAATGAATAAATTAAAACAATAAAAATACATAAAAAAGTTCATTTTACAAAATACAAACAAAACACAAATTATACCAAAATACATTAAATCTCAACAATATTAACTTTAAATACATAACAAGTCTAATACAGCTTTTGACAGTACACCTTTTTTTTTAACAGGTAACTTTCGTAGACCTGTTATGAAGGGATCTGAATGAAGAAGCAGCCTATTTACTAAATCTGTGTTGGTCACAATGCGACTCATTTTACGCGTATGATTTTTTCTAAAAGACTTGATGTATTTGTTAGTCGCTTCAGCTGCTTCTTCAGACAACTCTCCGATTGACAACAAACCGTAATCTATAACATTAGCACCATGAATTAGAACTTTGTGAACGGAAGCAGGCATGTTATACCACGGATACTCGGCAACTAACTGCCGAGCCGTCTCTAAAGCGAACTCTTCGAAGTTCGTCTTATTAATATTATATCCCGAATTTAAACATTGAAGGATGATCCAGCAACGATCTAGGAGATCCTTCTTGATCCCAGTAATTTCAGCGGAAATTTCTGAATTCGAGAAAAACCGCCTGGCTGTATTACCATATCGTTTGATGTTCCGCTTCCGCCACTTTTAGGCTTATCCACTATAAGCCCTAATCTTTCTCTAAATTGAGTCTGAACATATGATTTTTTTGCAGCAACAAGCATTTTGTCATTAGCGGACCTAGCTTGCCATTTCCTAACATCTAACTTGTACGCGACATGAACAAAATATTCAAAAAAACGTATTAACGCGTGAAGAGGTGATAAACCAAATTCATATTTACTCTCATCGACTTCCTTATTTAAACATTCGTCAATTTTGTTCATTTCACTGGGCAAGGCGTTACAAATAAAACATTTTGATGAAGAAACACCACTAAGTGCATTACACACTTTACCATCTACCATAGTAAGTTGCAAACAATGAGTAATGCGATATTCGCGATCTTCTTCCTTGAAAACAGTAGGCTGCAAGTTCCTTATTTTATCTTTAAAATGAGCTTCTTCCTCAACTGACACTGCAGTCGATTCCTTCAAATATCGGAGGCGTATAGGACGACAGTATCGAGTTGATGAAGGACGAGGATTTTTCCACAAAACTACTGAATTTTCTTTGTTATCTGTTGTCAAAACAAGCTGAAGTGGCACATACGAAGTAACAAACAGGCTACTGTCTTCAAGAGTGGAGTCAGAAAAACACTGTTTATATTCTGAATGCCCTGTACTGCCATCGAAACCCCATTTCCCTATCAAAGATGTCTTATCTAGAGACTCATTAGGTACACTATCCAAAACATCTTTTTGAGACTTGAGAATCCGATTGGCAGTATGATCTAATAAACTTTGAAGTTCGACTTCGGCGGATGATTCTGTAACAGTAATATCTGAAGGATAACAGTGTTTTTTAGATTCCACGACACTTTGGTAAGATGGGAAAATGGTTTTTGAAAACTTATTGTCTATAAATTTCTTTACTAATATATATTGATGTCGAGTTAACTGAGCTTCAACAATGAGCGATAAAACTTCGCTAGAATCGATTTCAGGACAAGACAAGCTATCGGACGCATTGAGCAATGACTGTACAAGAGAAGGGTCTTGGTTAGACAAACTAGCCAATCTTCTCCTTTTTGTACGTTTACTGGTGTCGTCAAAGTTAATTCTCGGACGGCCATGCGATGAAGAAGTTGATGGTTTAACTTCGTCAAAGCTCTGAGATACACGTAACTCAGTTCGCTGTACATCAATATTTTCAACGACATGCAGCCAATCTGAATATTTTTCTAAGAATTTAGATCTAGTACGATTCGACTTTGCCCAGTAGTGGGAAATTCGTTTACAAATATTCTTAATTTTAAGGCTTAAAGTCTCTAAATCAATATTTTCGATGTCGTCAGAAAGGGATGATGTTTCGGTCAAAGTGCTCAGGACGTGTTGCATTTTTTCATTTGGATTACCCACTTTAGAGTGCCAAATATCAAAAATTGTCATCCTCGATACAGAACATTTGAAAAATGTACCTAAAACAATATGAAAGCTGAACTTAAAAAAAATTAAAAATTCAATACTATGGACATGCATACTTTGACACCCCTTTAAGCCAAGAAGAGGCAGCAAGATGCAAATGAAACTTATAGCTCTTAATAAGGACATACTCCTTATTCAAAAACCATATACCTCAGGTGCAGCTCAGCGCAGCCAAAAGTTGTAGGTCTAAAGGAAATTAAGTTATGCCAAAAATTTTCACCAAAAAACTGCCTTCAATAAAAAAATTATATAAAAAAAAGTATGCATAAAAAAAATTAAAAAAAATTGATAATAAAAGTACATAATGCTCTTGGATCTCCATGCTTTCACAACACGTAAACACTTGATTTGGAATAGTGACACTCAAAAACAAAGTGATTAAGTTTCGATGACTCACACGTGGTGATAATTAGTCTCGCGATGCGCTCACTTCCGATGCACAAAAGTGAATGATAACGTGACCTAATTACATTGATATTTATAGTTTTTGGAAGCTTGTTAACTAGTTACTAACTTAGTGAGTTGATCTAACCGGGATAAGCCAATGATTTTTTTTGATTTATGGCCTATGGGGGAATCACAGTGCTATGTGGTCTGTGATTTATACATATATATTTAAGTATACCTATATGTTTTGTATGTATATCTAATATGTATTATTGTTATTATAATTATATCATCTTTTTTTTTCATTTCGCTCTCGCATGTAATTAGAGGATAACTACATTTTGGCTGGCTTTGTCCTGTTTTATATCATTTTAATTTAATCTAGTAATAATAAGCTGTTGTTGTCCCAAATAAAATAAATAAATTTAAAAAGAAAGTGTTCCATACTCTTTTTACTTAGACAAGTGACGGGACGAACAAGTTGTGTGCCTGATGGTAAACTACACGCCTGTCCATAACAGTTATAGTTCCACTCAGAGCATTAAATCGCAAAGATCTGGTGGGCACTGCCACTGCGCCCGTCACTCTGAGACACAAGTTGACAAATCCCATGTGCCTGTAATTTCACCAGCACCCCCCTTCAAAACCGGAACACAGTAATGCTGACAATACTGCCTGGCAAAAATAGGTAAAGGGCAGTACTACCCCAGACGAACTTTTTCACAAGGAGCTCTACTGCTATAAATATATATGAAATATAGTAAAAATTAGACATTATTGCTTAATAACAATTTTACTTTCATTTCTATGATCCTACTTTTTATGTTACCTTTGCAGTTGAGTTAGCTTCGAATGTGAAAACCCTATATCATGACCACAATTACGTACATAATCCCAACAAAACAATAAAACTGACCTCGTGTAGTCAAGATGAATCAGGATTACAAATGCCAGGTAAGGTCCTGTACAGAGTGTTTTATTTAAATGAGACAGATGGGGAAATCCGAAACTACAGAAGATACAAGGAAACTGTCTTAGAGATCATTAAGGGTCGTAATCCAGAACTATACTCAATGCTCAAGTCAGGATCTGAGTATGATTTCAAGCACTGGAAATACAACCCTAAATGCAAGGACTTGAGCATAATTTCTAGTGCTTTAAATAATGCTCAAGTCAGGAGTTGAGTATGGTTTAAAGCACTCGAAATCATACTCTGGTCCCTGCCATTAGAGTCGTATTTCCAGTGCTTGAAATCATACTCAGATCCTGATTGCAATTAAAACACAAGCACTGGAAATACGACCCTAATGGCAGGGACTTGAGTATGATTTCGAGTGCTTTAAACCATACTCAAATCCTGACTTGAGCATTGTGTCTTTCTTTGTAATGTAAGTCTTTTTTTGTGATAACAATTTTGGCATAGTCAATTTTTTGGTCAAGCGTGAGTTGTCCATAAAAATGTATAAATTTAATCAACATTTTTTTAGTGCTGGTCGACTCAATTTCATGAAAGGATCATTTCATTGTATGGGACGAAAAAAATCGGGACAGCACAAGTCGGTCAAATTTCATAAAATATTTTTTTGTTTAATGCTAATTAATAGACTCAGTTTCTTATAAGTATGACTATATGGTATCGGAAGAAAAAAATTGAAACAGAAGTTGGTAAAATTGAATAAGAAAAATTTTTCATCAGTCTCATTGTATTTTTTTTTTTTAATTTTATGTAGACAGCAAACAAGCATACGGCCCGCCTGATGGAAAGCGGTCACCGTCCCCTACGAACGCCTGCAACACTAGGGGCGTCACTAGCGCGTTGCCTTTTGAAAGGCTCCATGCTGTATTCCTGCGGGACAACCCCGACAGGCAGTTCATTCTGGCGTCCAGGAGCTCCAGCCCAAACATTACAGCAGTATTCCATGTGGGGCGGAATTGTGACTTATAAAGTAGCAGTCTGCTCCGAAGTGAAATACCGCTTAGCCCTGTTGAGCACACCAAGCTTTTTGGACGCTAACTTGACTTTGCCATCTAAGTGCCTACGGAACTGAACGTCACAAGAGATATCGACGCCAGGGATCCTGATGCTCTCCGAGATATTTAATGGCTTGTTCTGGAACTGAAGGTCTGCAGCAAATGGAGGCTTTTTAGCGGTGAACGCGCAAACTTGTGTCTTGATGGGGTTAAATTGGACTAAGTTTAGTCGTCCCTAATCAGAAACCCTCTCCAGGGTTTTTTCTGTTTGTGACACAAGTTGTTTTCGGCTCACCTCTACGAAAGACCAAGGGGACTTAGCATGGCCAGTGTAATATATGTCCACCTTGCTGTCAACCGCGTAACAGTGAATGCCGTGAGTAGATAGCATATCACTGATGTGCAGCAAAAACAGCGTTGGAGACAGCACAGAACCTTGTAGGACACCCGCGTTAATGTCCAACCCGTCAGAGCAACTACCGTCGACGACGGCTCTTATGCTTCTGCTGGGCAGAAAGCTCTCAACCCATTTGCATAGGCCCTCGGGTAACCGCTATGATGGTAACTTCGAAAGAAGACTTCGGTGCCAGTCACGGTCAGACGCCTTCGCCATGTCAAGGCTGACAGCTCACCTTGACTCTCAATGGCAGAAGCCCATTGGTGAGTGAGATACACTGAAAGGTAGAGCGACAATGGCGGAAGCCATATTGGCGGTCGCTGATTAGGTCATGAACTTATAGGTATCTAAGGAGCTGGGCGTTAATTACACGCTCCATCACCTTGGAGTGATATATATATAGTATGATGCAGTGGATATATCTTCTATGGTTTCGGATTTCCCCATACTGTCCTATTAAAAAAAAAAACACTATCTAAAAGAATTAAGTGACGAAGACTGACACAATTGTTTCTATTTTTGACAACCTCGGTGGTCCAAAGGTCTGCTCTGTAGATGCAGTTATGATTTGAGTGTTCTAGGTAGCTTCTAGGAGTGAATTTCTTTGCTCTGGTACTCTGTAGTGCAGGGAATTCCCTGGTTTGAGACCAGATCAGTGTGGCTGTTTCAGACATTAGCCCCGTTGTAACAACGCCTGCGGCAGCTTTATCCAAAGCTGCCATGATAACTCACCAAGAAACTCCATTGATTCTATTAGAGAAGAACGATGATCAATTGCAATTGATAGAGGAGACTCAAGTGGATTCCAATTTTGAATATATAATTGAGGCTGATGAAGAGGGTCCGTTTTCATGGCAGAAGAGTATTGTCGTTCCGTGTGACGGTAAGCATCACATTGTTTTTGACCAATTACTTCACAAATTCATATATAATTACCCTGTTACTAAGTCCAATACACAGGATTGGTTGTAAAATAGTAATTAAAAAAAACCTCGCAAGACTATATCACTAACATCATAAACAACAAATTTTATTCCATAACTTTTTACATAATAAATTTGCCATAAATAAACTTTTAAGTTATTGTTGTTCTATCTGACACTTTTTAGATGTGTGTTTTGAACAACGCGTGCATGATGTCATTTATAAAAAAAAAAATTTTAGTGGTTGGTGCTTTCTTTTGCTAACGCACTGAGTTATCACTATTAAGAGAGAACTATTCGCGTACTTTTATATTTGTACGAAAGTAAAATCGTTAAAAGTCATGGAACAAAAGTTGTTCTTTATAATGATACTTAGTAATATAGTTTTATTTTTATAGTATCTAGTAACGGGACGTAAAAGTCGTGCGCCTGATCGTAAGCTACACGCCTGTCCATAACAGTTGCAGTGCCGCTCAGAGCTTTAAATCGCAAAGATCGGAGGGGTACTGCCACTGCGCCCGTCACCCTGAGACATAAGTTGACAAATCCCATGTGCCTGTAATTTCACCAGCACCCTTCAAAATCGGAACGCAGTAATGGTCACATTACTGCTTGGCAGCAGAAATAGGTAAGGTGGCAGTACTTTCCTGGACGAACTCTTTCACAAGGAGCTCTACTGCTACTAAGTCACTAAATCTAATAGTCCTGCTACTAAGTCTAATAGTTCTGTGAGATTGTTAGTATTTTTAAAATAGACGAATGCTGGGTTATCTTACTTATATTAAGCGATGTTGTGGCCGACAATACGCTTAAGAGGGAGCAGAGGAAAAATTCCTAATCTTCGATTTGATTTTAGAGGGGTATATCCACTTTAAAGTTAAAAATAAAATATTGTATGAGTAACTACACGATATATTCAAGCATAGACATTACTCAGAAACATAAAACAATAAAGTTTCCTCGATAGATAAAAATCACATGACCTCTAATTTTCACATTTTTTCGATTTATCCTCGAAATGCTACAGGCTATTAGGACAAAAATTAGATAATTAATTATATTTATGCATGATCGACAACAGAAACGAATTTTTTTTTAATCCCTTTAGTTTTAGAGTTATTCCACTTAAAATGAATTTGGTACTTTTAATGCGCAAAATTCAACATCTCCTGTCGCATGTCACGCGAACTTCAGGCATATGTTTGTTTCACAAATTTGAACGGCGCCAACGTCAACACTTTTTGGCATGAGAGCTCTTAAGCATTTGCACACAAATGTCTAGCAAATGCCTATTCCCGTTTCGTCTAATCATAATACATAATAATCCTACTATTGTTTGTTTTTAGTACTGAAGTGTTTATAAAATTACACACGAAGGTAACCTTAAATAGCAAGTTGGAAGTTTTTGAGCTTTTTAATATTTTTCTTATTGCAGAGGAGATTGTGAGTTCAGAGCTGTCGAGTCAGCTGATTGACGACGACGTGCTGCTGTACGACTCGGAGCCACATTACAGTCATGCTGCGCAGGATATATTTGCAGGTGATATAACGTTTTATTTCTAGACGCTATAAGGTTGCCTAGCAGAAATATCTTAAAGCAAGAGCTTTAATCTTAAGTCAGTCTTTAAAATGCACAATAGCGATCCTCGGCATTCTGAATTTCAAAATTAGTCCAAATTTAATTTGATTTGATAATGCAGTCAATATAAATTTTGCCTTTAAAAACCTTTGCCTTCATATTGTGAAAGATTAAATACATAACTAAATTTTTCTACTACTAATGGCAAGAAAAAAATAGTTTAAATTTATGAAAAGTAATCCTTACCCCTAATCAATAGTAATAATAATAACAACAAACACACTTGTAGACCCGCACTAGGGAAACCCTGTGTCGAGAATACGATGGACACACACATAGAAAACCACCAATTACACCCAAACTCACAAGAGAAATAAATGTAGGCCATACAAATATTTCTCCCGGCACGGGAATCGAACCCGGGACCTCTGCGTGACAGTCCGGCATGATAACCGTTCGGCCACGGAAGCAGTTAAAATTATTACATATAAAAATCGACCCATGAAGTGTGTCGAAATTGCCAAGTTTACAGGGGAGCGTTTTAAAGTTCTGAATTCAGTGAAATGAGCATAACACGTGACTTTAGCATTTCTCAGTTTTATTTGGCAAAGCTCATTACTCACAAAGAGTATTATAAAATCCTGGATATCGGTTAGATGATCTATTACATGGTCACTCTTTCAGTAAATTCAATTCAATTCAGCAATTTCGACATACGATACTTTACGTAGGAGGGGTCGATTAATATTTATAAAATTGTTACATATATACAAAGAGACAATTTACGCGAGTATGAATTTTCAATTTGCAGAAGAAACAGAGGAAGTACTGGAGGAGTTGAAATGCAACCTGTGTGAAAACATTATAAAGGGGTAAGAAGCACTGCTTATTTATTATTACGCGATTTCAACTGCAAAGTAGCAACACCCCGTCAAACGCTACCTTACGACGCAGCTGACCCCGGCCATATCCTCCGCAGTGGGTTCCGGTACTCGTGCGTCCAGTGCCCCGACTTCGACCTGTGCGGCGCGTGCGAGGCGAAGGGAGCGCACCGGATGCACTACGTGCTCAGGTCGCCTGGCACCAAGGACGTCGTGAGTTCATCGTTTGTACATGGTCGCACCTCACTAGAGACAGAATCACTCAACTGCTTGTGTGGTTCCAGAGCGAAGTGCAGCTGATGCTGCGCCGGATCCGCCAGACGCTACTGACCGACTCCGTCGTCTCGCTCCGCGACCACCCAGGCGGGTGAGTATGACTACATTGGCTTCAATTCACGGCAGCTCATCCCATAGGACCTGAAGTCCTGAACGCTAATGCTGTACAATGGACGTCATAATGATCTGGACGATCTAATTTTTTTTCAGTACCTAGTAGCAGAGCTCCTCGTGTAAAAGTTTGTCTAGGGAACTACTGTCACCTTACTTATTTCTGCCGCCAAGCAGTAATGTGACTATTACTGCGTTTCGGTTTTGAAGGGTAAGGGTGCTGGTGAAATTACAGGCACATAAGACTATTTAACTTATATCTCAGGGTGACAGTCGCAATGGCAGTGCACCTCAAATCTTAGCTATACATATACGCAACATTACTACATTGTTTAACATTTACTTTTTTTTTGTTATTTGATGCCGACTATATTGAACACTGTTTCCTTGTATACGGAATACTATATAATAAAGTCCACGCCAAAACTCGAGGTCTTATTCTGTACATCAAAACAATTTCCTTTCCATATTCAATACTTAAATTAATAGTAAAAAAAAATCAATTTAAAGCGTGTCAATTCCATCTAGCGCCCCCTAAACGTACTTACTCGCAAGCTTGCTCGGCCCGTTATCGCGTTCAATTTTTTTTATGTAGATGGCGTTTCTCGCTATCGACCCTGTCTTGCCAAAATATGAACTTATTTATACCAAATATGGTAATTATTAAACCACTTCTGGTAACTTTCGTCTTAAGAACGATTACCGACCCTCAACCCGCGCGCCCCAATTAGTATTCGATTCGAGAATCCGCCGAAAACGTTTGTTTAAGATAGAAAAGTTTTCACGTAGTTACGTTTACGTCTGGTTTCCCACAGTGATCTACTGGCTGATTTTTATTTAGCCTATTTAAAATTGTGCCCAACGATGTACTACCTATTTACAAAATTCGCTGCAAAAATCTTGTTTCGATGTTAAGAACAAGGAACTGATGTTGTGTTGCGAAAATCTTTCCATCTTATACGGGGTGTAAAAAAAAATCACTGACTATTTTAAAGGAGCATAGGTACTGGTATAATAGAAATAAAAAATACATGTACGATTTTTTTTTTTCAAATACTTGACAAATGAATAAGTTATGACGTCTCGAAGTTTTCCGAGAAATTGTGAAATAATATTGACATCCCACGATTAATAGACGCTGTTGCTATAGCATCGTGGGCGAAAGTCAGCGCGCGGTTTATTAACTTCGGTTGCCGAACAGTTAGCTCTGTGGGCGCTGGAATGGAGATTTCGGAATCGACTTGCGGTAGGTTAGGGTAATTGCTGGCAGTGTTGGCCAAAATTTAATTGTTCAGTCAATTAAAGATTGACGATTAATTAATTGTCAATTGCGAAACAGCAATTTACAATTGATTAATTGTTAATTGCGAGAACAGCAATAGGGTAGGTTAGGTGGTGGGTTAGGGGGTGGATTAAGGAGTGGGTTAAGGGTTGAGTTAGTGGAAGGGTGTTAATATTTTAAAACCGAAAAAATTGGGTTTTTTTATTTCACCAATGTATTGTCTTACTGAATCATATGGACAGTGTTTTTTTATCATCCTGTATAATTATAATTGATTCCATGTAGGCTGACAGACGAGGTGAAAGAAGAGTTTGAGGAGGGACCAGAGTCCGGAAGTGAAGAGCACGACCCTCTCTCGGGCGACGTTGACCTCGCGGAAGCTACTTTACAGGTAAAGTTTTCTTGGAGATCTGCAGATATTGTTTCACCAGTCTGATTTCAGCCAAAGAATATTGCAAATAAAAGTTGGTGAATGAATAGTTTTTTTAATGTATATTCTAGTAAGGGGTCATTCCTGCGAAAATGACACCGCGGCTCAAAAAAATAAATTACACAATTTGGTTTTAATTATATGACTAGAATACGCCCAATAAATTAAATCATTAGAAATAAATGAGATTTTTCGGATATTGTACAATTATTCTATTCTCTTCATTAACGCAGCCATAGAGCAATCGTCTATGGTGAAGCATTTGTTGAAGTATGTTAGCCACAATTTTCGCGGTTATTGGTGCGTCTTTCTAAATAATAATAATAATAATAATAATAATAATAACGCTCACACTCAACATAGCCCCGCACTAGGGAAACCCTGTGTCGCGGGTGCCATGGACACACACATAGACAACCACAAATTACACCCAAACTCACGAGAGAAATAAATGTAGGCCATACAAATATTTCTCCCGGCCCGGGAATCGAACCTGGGACCTCTGCGTGGCAGTCCGGCATGGTAACCGTTCGGCCACGGAGGCAGTTAAAGTTTTCTTCGACAGTAATAAGTTATTACTGTCGAAGAAAATACAATTTACGAATTTTAAAACAGTAATAAGTGATTGCATGGAAGTATATATGGTGAAGAGTTATTTAAGTTTCATTATATACTATATAATTTCAAATCCCACCCGTCACAATGAAACATATAAACTTTTATTTTTACCAATAAATATGCAATCTTTGCATTTACTTCTGTAAAAGTTACAATGATGCTAATGGTCATTATTTTGGCTTGGTTGGGCATTGTGCACGTAAATAGGAATGTAAATATTAAGATTTGGAAGTGCGTCCTACCCGTCACAGAGATAGGTGGAACACACTTCTAAACTTTTTTACTTTAACTAAATGTTTGTATTTTCATGGATTCGAATTTTTACGATGTTTACTAGGTGTAACAGTTGCTTTAATTTTGGATTTAAACATTTGATGTGTTAAACTGTGATGATTGGGACACCATTTTGTGACAGGTGGGACAAGTTACATTTGAGTACATACAATTCTAAAAAATCCACTGTTTATATGTAAGCAAATATTTTATAATTTTTGTCATAATTAAGACATTTTAACATATAAAAAAAATTCCCTATTTTCCACATTTTCCTGCTGATTTTTAGTATCAGGAAATTCATGAAAAGTCGGTCTCCACATGTTTTATGTCTAGGATGCGGCAGAATTTTTCAAATTTATTAACGCATTTTACATGCATGACTTTGTTTCATGTCGTCATAGATAGTATTTCAGGAAAAATAATAGGATTACTTTAACATTTCTTTCATTCTGTTTTTATTTTTGTGTTAAATGTCTTAATACGAGAAAAAATATAAAATATTTGCTTACTAACGATGGATCTTATATTAAACAGTGTAATTTTATTAATTCTGTGTATTCAATTGTAACTCGTTCCACCCGTCACAAAATCGTGTTCCACCCGTCACAAAATCGTGTCCCACCCGTCACAACTTAACATATTAATTTCCTTAAAATTTATCAAAGTTATGAATGAAGTGTATATATAAAATAGAACTTTAACATTCAAGTTATCACATATGAAAAACTTCCTGAACAAAATATTAATGGTTTGTCTTGATCTTTGCAATGAAGTCATCAACTCAAATAGGCGGGTGTCGTGAGTGTCCCACCCGTCACACTTAGAAAATTAAATTTTTTTAGTACAAATAAGGTACGCACGCACACACTCAACATAGGTCATAAATTTATGTTAATAAATAGTCGCGGTTGAGTTGCATATCTGGCTTCATGATATTTTCATTTTAAGTCCAATTAACCAATGGCTAGGGAGTTTCTTAAAGTTCGAGAAAAACGGAGTCAAAATCCTACCCGTCACTTTGGAATGGCCCTAAGGTTAAATTTTATCGGACATCTAAAACCATCGAGTACACAGTTATGTACTCGACGCCTAAAACTCATGTTTTTGGACAGAGTGAAGCAACACAGATCAATTCTGTACCTTATTCTTTTGACGTACCTATGAATTAATTTATTATATATTTTTCACACCAGGAGTTAAGTTTGGACGAGTGCTCGGATACAGGAGCGACGGAATCCGAAGAAGACGAACCTCCCCAGAAGAGACCTGCGCTCTCTCCATTCGAATTCCTCGATACACCGTATACCTTCACACTTGAATCTAAACTAATATCTACTGCTCAAGAAAATCAGATTTTACTTGAAATAGAGCCCCAAGAAATACGAGAGAATTATGTACCAGTTCCTGATGGAACAAAACAGATGCCAATGAATCTGCCAATGGGACCACTAACATACAAATATATACCAAAAGAGACATGTCTACTATTAGCAGGATCATCACAGCAAGGTCATAACTCCGACACACCTGTGAGCGTCCACACTGTCACTGGAAAACGGGTATTATTACCAATTACACCAAGTAATGTTATCGATCAAGAGAATACAAATAAACTAGGTAATTTTATTGGTTCGAAAACAATTCCATCAGTCAGAAAAGAAGATAAATTAGTGCAATTGAGAACAATGAATCCAAGTGTAAGAATAGAAAGACTTGATGTACACACATTAAATAAATATCGAAGAGTTAGACAGACTCGCATCGATGCTCCCAGATGATAATAACAACTTCGGATAAATAATATGTAGCGGACTGTATGAATGGGTTCGGGTGGGTGCTGTCAACGAGTGAGTGTTGACCAAAGTAAATGTACTCACAGTTTATTAATTTATTACAAAACACGTTCAGCAATCAATCCAAAAACAAACAATGGTAAAGAAAAGGCGCCAAAAACACCCACATTCAAATTTTGAATTTAAATATAAAACTCAAACTTACGAAGTCTATAAAATATACTCCTGGACACATATTCGAGCCACCTCGCAATTTTGTCGTAAAGGGCTAGAATATAAAAACAGTGTTATCATCGAAGAAAAAGTTTTCCCGGTTTTGCAAATCCAAATTCCCAACAAGGACTTATGTAAAAGACGTTTAGTATACTAGTTTCAAAATTCCATAATAGTTTTTGATCAATCAAACATTAAATAAATAAATAACGCACACGCTCAACATAGCCCCGCACTAGGGAAACCCTGTGTCGCGGGTGCTATGGACACACACATAGACAACCACAAATTACACCCAAATTCACGAGAAACAAATGTAGGCCGTACAAATGTTTCTCCCGACCCGGGAATCGAACCTGGGACCTCTGCGTGGCAGTTCGGCATGGTAACCGTTCGGCCACGGAGGCAGTTAAATTTATTATTTAGTTATAATTATTCATTGTTTAAGCTTAGGGTACTTAATACTAAAAATGCGTGGTGGCTCGAATTATTTGTCCAGGAGTATACATACAAAAGAGATTTCTAGCGACTGCTGAGATTCGCTACACAATGGGTCGGAATAAGCAGTGTCCGTAGTTTAGTGAGGATTGGCTATTGAGCGTGGCGTACTATGTACGTAAATGCAATGTGAAAAACACATACAAGCTGTCTTTTTTCCACTATTTTGACTAATGTGTTCAAGGGACACTTGATGACTTTCTCTATCACACCAAGTCGTCTGACGTTGCCGCCACCATGTACAGAATCACCAACATAAGCAAACCTACACGAGTGTTGTTCACACCGACTCCTGTTAATTGATCTACATAATGAAATTAGCGAGAGCTCGAAATTGAAAATCGTCGGTATTTATAATAAGGGCGAAAGTGCCATTTCGAAAAACTTTTCAATGTTATGGCTCCATCGAAATAATCAATGACTTCGCCAATCGACTGTGAACTGGCAATCGGTACTATCTCAATTTTAACAACTTTATAGGCGAAGAAAAAAATTGTTTGCGTCATTTATATAGCATCTGGTTTATTAAATAAAAATACGTAGTTTTTAAATATTTCTTATTACACATGTATTTTTATTTAATGAACCAGATGCTATAAAGTTGTCAAAATCGAGATAGTACCGGTTCCCAGTTCACAGTCGCAATGTCAAGTAAAAATTACTATGTACGGTAGTTTCGTAAAAATAATATAAAAATTATGGCGGACGACGCCATTAGCAAGGCCCGTGCCTCCCACAATGAGAAAAATTCTGGGAGCTGTTTTGGTTTTTCACGACTGTTTTGAAATATTTGCTTCCTGTTTTAAATTCAATTTTAAAACATAAAACTTAATTAAAACAAATATCGAATTTTAAAACAGGCGTAAATATTTTAAAACAGTCGTTGAAACTTAAACATGCTACCGTGAAAAATTTTTCGAAATTTCTACAAAACACCGTCGATACCGTCGGTAGTGAGAATTGTGTATGTTACAGAACAATTTGTGGTTGCATTTCGAAACTTTACTTTTTCAAACCTGTGTCTTATAAAGAGTGATTATTCAGTAGATGCAAAACTTTCTATTTATTTTAAATTTCTTATCAATGATGTTAGTTTGTGAATATGAAGGAAATGGTGATGTGAAATCAGAATGCAAAATTTGTATAAACAATGTATTTTTTTGTATAGTGTCTCTAAGGTAGCCCTAAATTATGCGGCACGAAGTAATAGTCCGACTCCACTTTATAGCATTTATTTATGAGTACCTAAATTATAGAAATAACGGACACGACTATGATAGGTCTGTGTCGCACTGGCGCTGCATCTCTTCGACTGGGAGCGGGTCCTCTTCCCCGTGGGTTGCATGCACCTCATGCGTCCCGTCGCCTGGGCTGGTCCACACGTAGTGATGTTCATCACCGCTAGTTGTGATGGGCCACCACATTTGCCTTTTTTTTTAATAGCGCACACACTCAACATAGCCCCGCACTAGGGAAACTGTGTCGCGGGTGCCTTGGACACACCATGTATGCCATCCCGAGTTCTTGCTAAAACGCTATACTTACCAACTGACTTTACTTCGTTCTTCGAACCGTGATCGGCTGTGAGATGTGCCTATAATGGCTTTATATGTAATACATGTCAAAGATTTATAAAGACTGATTGTAGGTAAGAGTTACTAAATATATACAATTGCTTATATATTTAGATTTTTATTTCAATGTATCCCCCATTTTACCTTCAAAGTATTTGTAGTGTCCACTGCCTAATTTCCGTGGCAATTAATATCATCTCTAAAATTTTTGCCTTAATCAAAATTTCAGATGATCTCAATTTAAAACGACATACCGCAGAATGGATACCCGCGACATTAACAGCCATTTTTTTGTGGGAATTGTATGCTTTTTAGATTTGCGATTTAGATTGCTTTTTAGAGATGCGACATCTCTCGCAAGGACTGGTAGCTGTAAAGGTACTAACTGGGTGATAAATCTTTCATAGATTTCTCATAAATGGCGCTACGACTAAAAAGTCGTTGAAATACCAAATACAAAGACAGGACGCAAGCACATAGAAAAATTCGTGAGGTCCGCTGGTTCGCTCCGTGGCTTAGTAGGTATAGCGCTTGGCACTGTATACGCACTGAGAAGAAACAAAAAATGGAAGAGACATTCTGACTTGAACAAATCCTTTAAAAAGATGGCAGGGCTGACCTGGCAAAGAATCGCCGTAAACCGAGGACAGTGGAAATCCTACTAAGAGGCATATATCCAACAGCGGAACAATAATATGCTGAGACGAAGAAGATATTATACTATATTTGGTTTACAATTTCTGCCGATACAAGTGCCATTAAGGCCTGTAAAAGGAATTTAGGTTAGGTTTTTTAAAGTAATAAAATTAATTAAATAATATTTTTTTAAATAGCAAAAAGTATTTTGTTTCGGTGGAATTAATTACAGAAAATCGAAATGAAACTTATATATTATGTTATTAGTTGTTATTTTTAATTTAGTTCAAAATGATCTTTATAATTACCGCAACCATGTAAAATAACAATTTCTAATTACCGTTGCCATAAAATATTTGTGTCTTAATTACTCAAAAACTAGTTTACCTATTCTTATGCCATTTAGATATTTGAATAGCTTAGATTAAAAGTTGTTCATATCTTTCAACGTTATTGGGTATATAAGCAAGAAAAAAAATGGCTACAGTAATTAGGCTGAGAACACCAAATTGTGAGAATGGCCGAGTATCAAAATGAATAGAGTACGCAATCGCACACACATCGTGCAAGTCGCACAAAAGTCGTTTTTTGGCGGCAAAACAGTCGCAACCTTTGACTTTCGCCGCCATTGACGAATTTGAAGTGATTTGGTTCCATGGTGTAGTGATTAGGGTGTAAGGTTCGCGTTCTGGCCGTCTCGTGGTTTCGATTCCCATAGTTGACTGCTTCCATGGTGTAGTGGTTAGTGTAAGGTTTTCGTTCCGGAGGTCGTGGGTTCGATTCCCATACTTGATTGCATCCGTGGTGTAGTGGTAAGAGTGTTAGAGGCTTTCGTTTCGAAGACGTGGGTTCGATTCCTATAGTTGACTGCTTCCCTGCTGATATTTGACGGATCTCTCTAGATCACGGATCTATTCCCATAACCGGGTGTAAAGTGTCTTGGCGCGTAATCAGACAATGTCAGTTGTTGTACTCTTTGGAAGTTGCTCTACTAAAGAGCTCTGGCCAGCACTCCGGCCAAAGCTGTTTAGTAGTTTCTAAACGATAAAGTTTCGATACTTGAATATGGTTCTCATAAGTTACAATATTGATATCTACTTTTGATTTGCGAAATTTTTATCCATAATGCATTGACTTACTTACAATTAATCAATTGTTAATTGCGGTTCTCGCAACTAACAATTGATCAATCGTTAATCGCAAATATCTACAATTAACAATTAATCAATTTTCAATCTTTTCAATGTTTTTGATTAACAATTAACAATTAAAACTAACAATTATGATAAATTTATAGGGCATATGGGGGTGAGTTAGGACGTTGGCTGTGGGGGCCTGTTGGGGGCCCGATTGGGAACCCCGCTTGGGGCACCGGTTGGGGCCCAGGTTGGGGGGCCCGGTTGGGGGGTCCGGTTGGAGGCCCCGGTTGGGAGGCCCGGTTGGGGGGCCCGTTCACCTTCAAATATTCATCTGTATGTCTGGCCGTGTGAGAACTAGCGTTATCGTGGTGCTAGATGATACGGTGTTTACGGTTATTTTTACGGTACCTATAACTTCCGCCAAACAAAGGGTCATGTACAAATCACTATTCACAGTACATTGATTTTCCAAAGCAACGGTAGCTACGTGTCCAGTTTTATTTGAAAAAAAGAAGCAATTATCCGCTTACGGGCACTTTACACGCGCGCCACTGGTTGGTTTCGGCTCGTCTCGACAGACCCATACGCTCGATTGCTGCTTTGTTTTGGGATCGTAACTATAAATCCATGCTTCGTCATCTGTTACTATGTCCCACAGCAAATTTGACGCCCCTTCATTGAATCTGGTAAGCATGGCATAGCACCAAGTGACGCCATCCGTTTTTTGAGCCTCAGTAAAATTGTGTGGGCTCCACCGAGAGCACAGCTTTTTCACACCCAAATGTTTGTGTAGTATTGATTGTATTTGACTCATGCATATGCCTAAAGATGCCCGAATCTCATAGTATGTCACATGCCTGTCTGTTTTGAACATACGGCGCGCAGCATCGATGTTTTTATTGTTCATAGCAGTGGAAGGGCGACCATCTCGAAATTCGTCATTGAGATTCACAAGACCGCGTCTGAATTCTGCAAACCAGCTATAAATAGTCGTCTTGCATGGTGCTTCATCGCCAAAAGCAGTTTGAAGCCGAGCAAAGCTCCGCTAAGCTGTTAAATTACACTTAAAGTCGTAGAAAATCATACTACGAAAATTTTCACGAGTTAAATCCATGGTGACGTAGACAACCAATTCATAAAATGTCGCCACAATGTAAAAACAAGAGACAGTCAGATGAAACAAACTGTATTCTACAGCCAAAGAGTTCCATTTTCAAATGTTATAATTACTTTTTAAATATTGTTTATGTAAGTGGAAGATTCGCTCTGGACCTTTTGGAGGGAAAAGTGTCGTTTTTATTTTGACTTTCAATTATTTTGTGAAATCTAGTTTAAAGTGGAATAGGATAGTGCTATTGTGCCTTAATCGAAGATTAAAACGCGAAATTATACGAATTTCGAACTAAAATACCCGTATCGGCTCATTCTAAGGAATCCCGAGTCAATCCAAGCACGCCGCGCGCCGCCTCAAACTGCCTATCCTCTTTGTGGCGGCCATATTTACAGAAACATCATTAAACTTCATGTGTAGGCTGATGGGTTTGCCAGCCTTAATAAATTAAAAAAAAAATTATGTAAGTGGCCAGTTCCGTAAACTTATAGTGCGCCCTATGTACTCGTCGTGCTGCGGCAGGCTGTGGTGGTGTGAACCATATGAGTATGTGGCGTGTTCTACGGGATGACTGCTCTGCACCCATTCCATGTTCAAAGAACGCAGGAGCATTGGGAGCAAACTAATCCACCTGTGATGTTTTGTCGTTGGTACCGCGACCACGTTCAGAGGTCTCTCGACTTCGCTTCGTCAATACTGTGGACGAACGAGGAGTCATTTACGGGTATCAACAACATTCACAATGAACATTTTTGGATTCCCTTGAATTCCCACGTATCAACCGAACCAAATGTTCAACACCAGCAGCTTGATTTTGACTGCCTGTCCCGATCGGAAACTGCATCTTTTCCGAGTCGAGGCGTATAATATTGCGGATGGGCTACCCGATCGGATCGATTCCCATTTGAATTAAAATCAGGGCCCAGTTCCGGATTAACGTGTGGGCTGGAATAGTAAGACGGTACCATCGTCGGTCCAGTGTTTTTGTCGGCAAGTTGGAATGGGGTCAATTATTTACGATTCTTAAGCGAAGACTTGGATGATATGCTGATGGCCCTGTCAGTGTCATGGTGCGCGAGTCTCGCGATATAACACAGGATGACTTTCCAGCATGATGGAGCACCCGCACATTATGCTCGCGATGTTGCCCGCCTGAACGAGCGTTTTCCGCATTGGTTTGGGCGGTCCCCAGACCTGACCCTAATCGATTTTTTTATGGGGTCATATAAAAAACATTGTTTATGTGGAGCACTGTGAAAGCGCAGAAGAAATGAGGTAGCGCATCAAAATGGCTTTTATCGAGTCACTCCGCAGATGATCCAAAGAGTAGAACAGTCTCTGCACCGGCGCACGGAAATCTGCTTATTGCGTGAATGTGTAATATGCTAAGGACAGCGCACGTAGTGAGTGTACTTATTGTTGAGACTTATCGTAAATAATTAAATACTTTTTGGTACATTGTAAACAGTGAATTACAATTCGTATGAACTTCATGAATAAGTGGATGGTGAAAGAGTAGGTAATTAATTATAATAATAACGCACACACTCAACATAGCCCCGCACTAGGGAAACCCTGTACCATGGGTACCATGGACACACACATAGACAACTACAAATTACACCCAAACTCACGAGAGAAATAAATGTAGATCATCCAAATATTTCTCTCGGCCCGGGAATCGAACCTGGGACCTCTGCGTAGCAGTTCGGCATAGTAACAGAGGCAGTTTAAGTGTAGTAATAAAGTTTAAGTTTAAAGTGTATTAGTAAAGTTTAAGCAGAGAACAAATAAGTAATGAGAACGGACACTCCGCCCCTTCCTAGCTTTAGATACCGCACCACGCCCCGCACATTGACTGAACGACAACAAGGCTAGCCGTTTTCGCGCTAAGACAATGGTGTAGTGTTTACAATAGTATGGATGCTGTGCTTTTTTACTATGCGTTCCCGCCTTTATCAATGGTTTTGAAAAGACTCAAATTGACGAAAATACAGCAACTAGTTTACTGCGTAACAAACATCTGCCCTGATTACGTCAGCTCACCATACCCTCATTTTAGACCTACAGAGTCTTGCATTGAAATTCCTATTACCTTACAGGAACTAACGAATAAAATTACGACCCCGGGCCATGATGACATTTCATATTCTATGATCAGGAACTTACCCGATATTGGTAAATTATATTTATTGAAACTATGTAATCGTTTTCTGGAATCAGGGTTTGTTCCATCACAATGGAGGGATATTAGGGTTATACCAATACCTAAGCCTGGTCGTATTGCTCAAGATGCTTCGTCTCTACGGCCAATTTCGCTAATTTCCTGTATATGCAAAATCTTTCATAGGATCATAGGCAAAAGATTGGAGTGGCTATTAGAAAAGAGGAATGTTTTTTCGGAACTGACTTTTGGCTTCAGGAAATCCAAATCCTGCTTAGATAATCTTAGTCTACTCGTTTCTGATATTCAAATCGGATTTGCTAATAATTGTCCTATACTTGGCTGCTTTGTAGACATAGACAATGCATACAATAATGTTGATCTTGGGCCACTTCTAACCATATTAGATAGACTTGATGTTGGGGCTAAAACATGTCGCTATCTTTGGAACTTTTTAAGAGAAAGGAAAATTCATATTAAGTTTGATAATGGCGTTGTAACTAGGTACTGTAGTAGAGGACTAACACAGGGTGATCCGATATCCCCTCTGTTATTTAATATAGTCTCAGTTGATATCTGCAGGCAAATTAAGAACAAGGTACAAATTATGCAATACGCCGACGACTTTGCATTATATACCTCAAATAGAGACATATCTCATGGTCTATTTGAATTGCAGGGTGCTATTAATTTGCTATCACAACTCTTAGGTAATTTAGGTCTAAGCCTGTCTCCTGCGAAAAGTAAATTATGTGTTTTCAAGAAGAGTCCCTTTAAGGGATCTTTAGAGCTAAAAATTAATGGGACATTAATAGAAGTAGTGGAAAATGTTAAATATCTGGTATTATAGCTTGACCGCGGGCTTCGCTGGGGCAAACACATTAATGAAATCTACTCAAAATGCTCAAAATTTTTGAATATTAAAGTGTTAGCTGGTTCGGGTTGGGGAGTCCACCCTATACATTTAAGAAGGATTTATATTGCTAGCTTGCGAAGTCGAGTGGATTATGCTAGTTTTCTTTATGATGTATCGTGTAACTCACATCTTAATAAAAATAATTTTATACAAAATACAAGTATGCGAATTATAGGGGTTTCATTAGAAGCACTCCTATTCACGTTATGGAAAGTGAGCTGTCACTACCACCTCTTCACGTACGTAGACATTTTTTGGCGAGTAGATTTTCTTTTAAAAGCAATTCTTTAAATTCAAACCCAGTAGTATCCTCAATAAATAAATTAAGTTTATTATGCACGAAGAAATTATGGAAAAGAAAAAAGACACCCTTATTGGTAGAAGTAAGTCGTTCCAGAACGTGCCTTCGTCTACTAGCAGTCTCCTAGAAATGTTCTCTCTTAACATATGGGTTAGTTATATTAATGTACCACTAGTTGTCAAACCTAACATTCAAATTTTAGATAAACCTAAACGTTTTTACAATGCAGATAATATAGCAAGTTCGTTTATTCGTCTGTGTTCTGTTGAATATGATGGATTTTATAGGTTGTTTACCGATGGATCGAAAGATCGGAATTGTGCGGGAGCGGCGTTCTATGATCCTCAGTTACAAATTCATGCTAAATTTAAAATTTCCTCGGCACTGTCCATTATGCACATTGAGCTATTAGCTATTGCGGAAGCGTTATCTTACGTTAAATCTTTATCTATTGATAAGTGTGTTTTGTTTACAGATTCCAAGAGCGCTTTATTTCATTTGGCTCGATGTACCTCGAATTTTCGAGGATTCCCGGTAGCCTATACTATACTTAATATAATATTTGAATTGCACGCCCATTCAAAAATTATAGCCTTGCAATGGATTCCATCTCATTGTGGCATAGTGGATAATGAAAAGGTAGATTGTCTGGCGAAAGTGGCTTGTACTGATGGTGATACCCTCCCGTGTCTCCCGTTTTATAGTGAATGTTTGGGTGTTATAAAAAATAATTCTTACAATATGTGGAAGGAGTTTTTTGATTAAAGGTCGAAAACAGCAGGCATTTGGTATAAGACCATCCAACCTGAACCGTTGAATTCTCCTTGGATCAATAATTGCTTAAATAGAAATGATTTAGTATTAGCATTACACCTTCGGTCCGGTCACATTCCATTAAATAAGTGTGCGTATATGATGAAGAAAACAGAATCACCAAACTGTGCTGTATGTGACTTAAAAGAGGACGTATATCATATACTGATGGAGTGTGGACGAAACGATTCTTTTAGATTTGATGTAGCTGCTATGTGTGACCAGTTTAGACAAGTTGGCGGATGCAACAGCGTCTTGGCCTTTCCCCTATCAAGGGAAGCCAAGATGCTATATAGATTGGTGGAGAGAGGCTTGAAGTTAAGGCAATTATAAGCTGCTTCAATTCTCTCTTTACTTTATAATATAAGTATATGTATAGATAGTCATAGTCGCTTATTGTGACAAAGCTCTTTAAATAAAGAAAAAAAAATGCTAATCTCTTTGGACGAAGCCTTCGTATAATTATGATAGAACTTCATGTACAGGTAAGTTCGTTTAATCATTAATTAATTATTATTGTCATCCGTGAGCATTGATGTGGGTTGGTCTACCACTTTAATATTTATTTAATGTATGTACATCAAGTCTTTCTATTCTTACACTTGGATTCAAATTGATTATTCTCAATTGCTCTGATTTGGTTTCTTTTACGACTAACTGAACTTTTTTTGGATCAATAATGTTGGTGTTGTCCTGGTCGATGATATTACTTGGCAATAATACCCGTTTTCCAGTGAAGGTGTGGATGCTCACACGTGTCTCAGAATTGTTGTGCTGTAATAATCCCGTTAATGGTAGAGATTTCTCCTTTGGTATGTCGTTGACTATCAGTTGTTGTATTGGTGTATTTATTGGCGTTTTTTTGGTTTCATTTGGAACTGGTAGATACTTCTTTTGTTGTTCCTGGGGATTTATTTCTAGTAAAATCCGATTTTCTTTAGCCGTAGATCTTAGTGTAGTTTCATGCGTGAAGGTAGTCGATGTTTCGAGGGACTGGAGTGGAGAGAGTGCAGTTCTCTTCTGGGGGGGTTCGTCTTCTTCGGATTCCATCGATTCTGTGTCCGAGCACTCTTCCAAATTTAACTCCTAGTATGAAAAATGTATAATAATTAAAGTACAGGTACGTCTAAGGAAAAGGTATAAAATTGATCTGTGTTGCTTATCTCTGGCCAAAAACATCAGTTTTAGGTGTTGAAGGTGTTGGTGAATATAAATTAAGAAAACTATTACTACACCAATTCTTATTTGCAAAAATTTCTTTGGCCGAGATCAGATTAGTGAAACAATATCTGCAGATTTCAAGTACAACTTTACCTGCGAAGTCATTTCCGCTGCTTCATGGTCCGAGAGAGGGTCGTCATCTTCTATTCCGGGCTGTGGTCCCTCCTCAATCTCCTCTTTCACCTCGTCCTTCAGCCTGCAAACAATCTTATGATATAATTATATGGGGACGTTGAAAAGTTTCGCAACTGAACTTCAGCAGCTTATTCAGGACAGCTTTTTTTCATTTGGTCCACGACTTTTATAAATATGTCTGGCGCCATTTTAACTAGGTTAAATCAGTCGGTAAAGCACTGGGTATTACAAAACACTATGGGTATTTATTGTTCAAAACGGGGCACAAAGTCTTTCTCTGTCAAGGCAACTACTTGAAAACTAACTAAATTCTGAGAGGACATCAAAGTTAAAAAATGTAAACAAAGGTAATGCCATTACAAAAAAATATTTTACGAATAGTGGAGAAGGGTTAAAAATTATTAAAGATGTTTTATATCGTTTTTAAATTGTGTGCTTGTACAAACAAAATATTATCAAATCATTTTTTTATTTAATACACCATATTTAATAAGATAATCTCAAAAAACTGTTTCCTGTGGAAAGATTTTTTATTATGTTTCGAGGATGAACCTTTGGCTGTCCTAAGTGTTTATTGGATTTTTTTTTATTATATTCTGTTTTTGTTTTTTTTTTATATTTATATACGTTTGTATATAACCTACATGCGTAAGGCTCAACTCACACTGGCGTAGAGTCGAAGTGTCGCGACGACGCGTCCTGTTTTTCAACTAAAGCGTCTGACACGCGCGACGACGACGCTTGACTCCATACTTGCGTAACACAAATTTACCTACCTTATTAATCGGAGTACCTTAATAATCGGAAAATAGAGATGAATATGCTTATACACGAAAAACATGACGCGTCGCGACGCTTCAACTATGCGCCAGTGTGAGTTGAGCCTAGGTGTGAATAATTTATTACTATAACACTATTAGTTTAATACTTTATTAAATTAAATATTTTTTATTAGAAATAATAAAATTAAATTAATAAATTGGTTCATTACTAAATAGTGTTAATTACAATGAATTAAAAAATTTTAAGTTAGTTTTTGATCGATAGGGATGGATAACGGGTCAGGTCGTCGGGTTGCATCCCCACTAGTTCATCACCGTGATTTTCTTCATTCGGTTTCTGGCGGCTGTCGTTATCGAATGTGTTCCTTGCTGTGTATGCGTCGTATTGTTAACTTTTTGTTTTTAATTATAGAGTATTTCTTTTATATTACTTTTTTGTTCATTTTTGGTTTTACTCTGTTGTGTGTATTGCTTGCGTTTGTGTTGAGGCAGAAATAGAAACCACGTCTTGCAATGTCCGTCCAAGAAGGTTACTGTAAACAAGCATACATGACGAGGATATCTGAAAGAACCGTTCGAAGAATACTCTGCCTGCCACTGATGTCATAATTTATGTTCCTAATATAAAGTATATTCTAAGATGTTTCTTTTGCGTAATTTTCTATGGGCCGTGATCCTTCTCATTTCCTCACAATTTTTAATTAAAAATATTTTGACACAAAATGATCCTAATAAGTTTTGTAAATTGTTCAATCCAAAAGACTATTTTTCCATTATAATTATTAGTCAGAATGGTGTGGAATCTATTGATAAACGAACGTGAAAAAAGAAGTTTATATGTCATTTTCACAGTGCCAATTGTTTGTTTACATTTTTGGTCTTCGACTCAATCTCAGAGTTTAACTTGAACAGACTTCTCGGCGGTCTCTCGAATTGAATACTAATTGTGGCACCCGGGATGAGGTCGGCAATCGCAAAGTATTTGGTCGTAACAAAATTCATATTTTGGCAAAGAGTCGATGCCGAGAAGCGAACAAAAAACTAATTGATTATGTCTACAGAAATCTAAATAAATAGGCAAATTGATTGAGATAAATTAATGAGCTGCTGTGAATTGAAGTCAGTACAGTCATACTCACTCGCCGGGGTGGTCGCGAAGCGAGACGACGGAGTCGGTCAATAGCGTCTGGCGGATCCGGCGCAGCATCAGTTGCACTTCGCTCTGGAACCACACAAGCAGTTGAGTGATTCTGTCTCTAACGAGGTGCGACCACGTGCAAACGAAGCATGGACTCACGACGTCCTTGGTGCCAGGCGACCTGAGCACGTAGTGCATTCGGTGCGCGCCATTCGCCTCACACGCGCCGCACAGGTCGAAGTCAGGGCACTGGACGCACGAGTACCGGAACCCACTGCGGGAGATACGGCCGGGGTCAGCTGGGTCGTAAGGGAGCGTTTGACTGGGTGTTGCCACTTTGCAGTTGAAATCGCGTAATAATAATCAGTGCTTCTTACCCCTTTATAATGTTTCCACAAAGGTTGCACTTCAACTCCTCCAGTACTTCGTCTGTTTCTTCTGCAAATTGAAAATAATTATTTGACTAAATTGTCTCTTTGTACAAATGTTTTTGTAAAATTTTGATTTGTAACAAAAGAATGACGATTACTTTTTAAAAATGGTGGCACAATTTTTTAGCTTGCCATTACAAGTTTTTTGTAAAAACCTGTTCTGTCCCACTTCTGTGCTGGGTAAAGGCATTCCCCCTCTTTCCCCCTTGGAAGTTAATGGAAATCGCTTTTGTGTACTTTACAGACTTTGATTTAAGATTGAAACTCTTGCTTCAAGAGATTTCTGCTAGGCAACCTTATAGCGACTACAAAATTATGTTACTTGAAAATGTGTCCTGTACAGCATGACTGCAATATGGCTCTGGGTCGTACATTAGCACGTCGTCGTCAATCTGATGGTTCGTAACCTCCTCTGCAATACCGAAAACTTTATGGTAAAAAAACTGACTTCTAATTTTATTTAAGCTCTTCCTTAGGTAATTTTTAAAAACATTCAGGGCAACAAACAAAAATAAGAAGGCTAATCAGGGCCAGGCGAAAGGGTAATAGGCATTTGCTACACAAACGCGTTCCACCGTCGGCCACATTCGACTATTTCATATAAATAATTTTAAAAATAATTTTAAGTGGTCAATAATATTGATACATTATATGGATTAATTACGTAATTGGTCAAAAGATTGTTTGATACTAACCTTTGTCACAGGGAACAACAATATTCTTCTGCCATGAGAATGGACCGTCATCATCAGCTTCAATTGTATCTTCAATATCAGACACCGCTTGAGTATCTTCATGGAATTGCAATGGATCATCATTGTTCTCTGATGGAGTAAATGGAGTCTCTTTAAAAATGTTATAGTAACTTCAGAAATGGCTGCTTCTAAAGCTGTCTCAATACTAGCATTATAACTATACTATGGTAGTAGTAACTTTGGTTATTGCATGTATCTAGTTTAGTGTTAGAGATGCTTCTCTCTTCACTAAGGGCGCGTTCCCATTATGTCGTGGCGACAGATAGTTGTGCAGTTTAAAGTGTCGTGGCTTGTATTTTCAAATAAAGTTCTTCACACATAGAACAACACGACAGACTGTTGTGATAATTTGAAGAGCTAGAACAACAGTCGTGCGATGATAAATAAAACGCCACGATACAAATGTGACGACAGGTAATGGCAGCTTCAAACGATTCTGTCGTGCAAACAACAAGGCGGCTGTCGTGAACCGATAAATTGTCGTCACAATCTAGTGGGAAAAGCTAGATTTGACTTGATCGACAACGATGAAATAAACTTTCACGACACAGTCACGACAGATAGTCGTGATATGGGAACAGGCTAGAAGCGACAGTCGTCCAACTTTAAATAAAACGTTACGACATCAAGAAGGGCGCGGTAATAAAGTCATATTCAACAAATCTTAAAAATCTGAAATGAAGCACGTTAAATTAAGTACCTAAGCACGTTACTTAATCTGTCATGTAACAACTTTGTCAAGGGTGCGAAATTAAAGAAGTGAAGAAACACGAAGTACACAACACACATTATACATAAAAAAGGTCATGTGATTGTTATGAATGTGAATGCCTCAATAAATTCGCAACACTCAAACGAGCGAGCAGTAAGTCGTAAACAAGTACTAACTAATATTTTTTCATTTATAATATTTATTTTGATCTTCCCCTTGCTTCAAAATTTAAGAAAAAAGTATATTTAACACTAATACCTGTGGCTGCTGTTTGCTGGGGAATTTCAACTGACATAGCATGGGCAGAAGTTAGTCGTTCATGCACCAAATCTGAAATGAAAAGCAAGGTTGAAATACAAATTTAACTTGTGCATGCTTTATTATTATTTATAACTGCCTCCGTGGCCGAACGGTTACCATGCCGGACTGCCATGCAGAGGTCTCAGGTTCGATTCCCGGGCCGGGAGAATTATTTTTATGGCCTACATTTATTTGTCTCGTGAGTTTGGGTGTAATTTGTAATTGTCTATTTGTGTGTCGGCTATGTCGAGTGTGTGCATTATTATTATTATTATTGTAAGTTGGTTATTACTCATAAGGATGGTTATTACTCACTGTTTGCTACTGACATGGTTGGTCTGGAATCCCTTGAACTGAGGCGGAAGATTGTGTTGCTTATCCCTTACTGCCTGCTCTTACGACAAATTATAGATAATCCTTCCGTTTTAGAAAGTCTGGGTTATTCGTGCTTGATCGTTATACTAGCGCGGTAAGCCGCAAAGGACGGCGCGCACGCAATCGTTTTGCCATGCCAAACAAAATGCGCATTCTACAAGGTTCCAGAGCGGTTGCTTTATTGAATGAGGTCCTTGCACTTGACCGTGTCACTGATGTGTTCGCGGACAGTTGGTCGCACGCAACTCATAGTCGTTATAGTAAATTTTGTTAATTGTTATTAGAGCTATTTAGCTTCACAATTTGTTGTTACTGTTTTAAACTTCTATTGTTGCAATTATTATGATTACATTATAATCAACTGTTATTCAATATCTTGCTGGGCGTATTGGTTAAGCTGTAAGCCCGCGAGAGATTTCATAGAAATAAATCAATTTATTAAATTCTATAAAATATATAATCACTTCATATGGTCGGTTACACAGAACTTCCACAATTGACGTGTAACCGTTTCAAACTATTGGGAAAGTAAAAATAAATATTATTGTGGTAAATAACCTGTGATAATCATTTAGTGAATAACCACGAACCTTAAAACCCCACGAAGCCTAAACCTAACTAATGTTAGGTGCAACTGAGCATTATTAATCTACATAATATTACTACATTTATATTTTAACTGCCTCCGTGGCCGTGGTAGGGTGTCATTTGTGGATGTCTATGTGTGTATTTTGAGTGTGTGCGTTATTATTATTATTATATTAGTAGGTAGTAGACGTCATGCTCCGTGGCCACGCCATCCAAATTTTTTTTATTATGATATTCCCTATGTAAATGTATGACTGACATACATGATGTACATTTTCTTTGGAACTAATGATTGATTCAAAATAAAAAGTAGTACATTCATAAAAATTACATGTACATCAGCCATACGTATGGTATTCATTAGGTATGGCCACAGAGCATGACGTAATAGTAGAATCAGAAACTTACGTGAAGATTTATAATATGTATGGTCTTCATGTTGCCGTTTACTGGAGTAGCAGTGTTCATTTCTTGTGCAATCTACTGAAAAAAAAAAAAAAAATGTCTTACGTCTTGGCAACTATTACAACTGAAGAGAAATTTTGCATATACATATAATAAGTAGGGATAAAATATAGTCTGCAATGGACATAAAAAACCAACCTCAAAAGTCATTCATCCCCTAGTTTGCCACCCTTAATGGTGGAATATTTTCTTTAAAATTAAATGGAACCACATCTTAGGTACCTTCTTTCCAACAAAAAATCATCAAAATTGGTTCAGAAATGGTGGAGTTATCGCGTAACATACATAAAAAAAACATACAGACGAATTGAGAACCTTGAACATAGTTAATAAAGGTGAGCAGCAATATCATACTGGAGTGAAAATAGTTCAGAATTACAATAAAGACTTACGCTACAATTTTTTACATTGCCGGAAAACAATTAATCCCTAATACATTATTAAGGATTATATATTATTACTATTAGGTAAAAAAAAAAAAAATAAAAAAAATAAAAAAATAAAAAGGTACTTATTGGTATAATAACATTAAGAAACATTCCCTGTCTTCTCAGACGAGCATACTTTGTCTAGTGCTAAATAACGGAGATGTCTGTTGTTACAGTAGCAGTTAACAAATCCATATAATAATATGTACATAGTCCTCATTAGTCCCTGTATCTTATACAACAAACAAATTAACTTGGGCCTTTGGCGAGAGTAAATAGACATTATTCTGCAGTCCACTAACCAAAATGCGGCTAAATGACAAAATACTTTTTTGAGATGTCATATAAAACCATAACCCAGTTTTGGAATAATGAAATTGTTTAATGATATTTCAGCTACGCATCATTAGGGTAGGTTCTGATAAGTCGAACATGTTAACTAATTTTAACTGTTTTCAAAAGAGCAAGTAAGAGTTAAGTATCTGTTTTAATTAGAAAAAAATACAAAATTTATTTTTTTCTAATTAAAACAGATACTTAGCCACTTAGTGGTCCCTTAGCTAAAGGGTAAGTTAGTGGACAGCAGTATTTAGGTGTGCACGTTCCACCCTGTCAAACTCATCAACACAAATGTGCAACAAAATAAATAGTTTTTTTTAAATGGGATAGTATGGGGAAATGCAAAACCATAGAAGATACAAGGAAACTGTCTTAGGAACCATTTAAGTATTTTAGTTTGATAAAAGCATGTGTCGAATTTTCATTTTCTATGATTAAACTTTTTTCACAAATTTCGCAAATGATTTTAGAAAAAAATTCCCTTGTCACCTATCCAACTGTATAAATGGACATTTAAGCTTTCTCGTCTTGCCTGTGTATATATAATAATAATAATAATAACGGTCACACTCAACATAGCCCCGCACTAGGGAAACCCTGTGTCGCGGGTGCCATGGACACACACATAGACAACCACAAATTACACCCAAACTCACGAGAGAAATAAATGTAGGCCATACAAATATTTCTCCCAGCCCGGGAATCGAACCTGGGACCTCTGCGTGGCAGTCCGGCATGGTAACCGTTCGGCCACGGAGGCAGTTATGCTATGTATATGCTATGTATATTATGTATATGTTATGTATATGCTGTCCTATATAATTAGATTTTGAAATTTCAATGGAATCATCAGTAATAAGCCGATGTTTACATTTTTCTTATCAAATAGGGCGTGAATGTTTTAACAATTCTTGGCTAGACACATTTTACAGTAAAAATTATGTGAATGAAATTTTATAAATCTTTAAATTCTATCTCATTTTCCTAATAACATTTTGTTTTTCCAAGGATCCCTATATTTATATAAATATAAAAATATTACCTGTTCTTGTCAAGGCATTTAAAGATATTTCTGAAGATTTCAGATGCGAAAACAAAGTAGGGTAAGGCACCAATCTTCAGACGGTTTGTTGCAGTGTGAAACCTTTGCTCAAAATGTTTGTGGCAAACATACATATTTCTCGTTTCACCAATTAAATGTTCACTATTTATGCACTTATACCATAGTCTTTTCACTTCCTCTTTCTTGGGAAATTCATGCAATTTAACGTCCTTTCATAAACTATTGCACGCGGGCACAAACTAATAAGAGTTACTACGTAACTGACCAGCAAGTGCCATATATTGTCTATAAGACGTAGTGCACGTTAAGAACATGACATTATTTTTTTTAATATTGGTATAACCCGTAGGCGGATATTCGAACTAAAATGTGTAGTTTGATGTGCTGTTGACTGTACATAGTTTGCTTTATACCTATTTAATAAAATTTTACATATACGTATAGACTAACAATCGAAAGAAATGTTTAGTATTTAGGTACTAGAAGTAAATTTTACCTCTTTCTCTGGAGGCAATTGATGGTCTTCCCGAGGATATCTCCAGATCCGAAAATAAAGTAGGGTAAGTTCCAATCTTCAGACGATTTGACGCTGTGTGAAACCTTTGCTCGAAATGTTTATGGCAAACAAGCATGTTTTTGGTTTCACCCATAAAATTTTCACGACGTATACACTTTAACCACTGTATTTTCATTTCCTCGTTCTTGGGAATATGATGCAATTTAACGTCCTGTCGTAAACTATTGCATTCGGGTACACAACACTTTCGAAACATTACGAAAACGCCGGCGAAGCTGTATTTGTAGATTAGAAGAGGCGGAAATTAATCAATGCAAACACTTTTCATCAATACAAACAAGCACAATGTTAATTTGGATTTAAAGGGCGGAAATCAATCGACGCAAACACTTCTCTTCGACACAAAACAAGCAATATGGCGCCCGCGCAAAATGGCGTCTGACTGTAAGAAGCGCGCGGGGTGAAGATTGCAGAGAGGGCGAGAGAGAAACGTCAGTACGCTAACGTGCGCTGTCATCACTACGCTTTAACTTTTTCTTAGCGGCTTAACGGGGCGTGCACGCGGGCATACACACAGACTATTTAGTGAACTAACGTTCAGACTGCTCATGCTCACTTTAGTTTTTTTTTTTCAGTAGTAAGAATTATTTTTAATCTGTGATACTAATGTTGACTGACATGATTCGCTCTGGACCTTTTGGAGGGAAAAGTGTCGTTTTTATTTTGACTTTCAATTATTTTGTGAAATCTAGTTTAAAGTGGAATAGGATAGTGCTATTGTGCCTTAATCGAAGATTAAAACGCGAAATTAACGAATCTCGAACTAAAATACCCGTATCGGCCCGTTTTAAGGAATCCCGAGTCAATCCAAGCACGCCGCCTCAAATTGCCTATCCTCTTTGTGGCGGCCATATTTACAGAAACATATTTAAACTTCATGTTTAGGCTGATGGCTTTTGTCAAAGCCTTAATAAAATTAAAAAAAAAAATCGACTGACATTCCATTTTTTTTAATAGGTAGACGATATTGTCTTGCAAAGGAGCAGAACGTATACATCCAAACAAATTTAGGTGGTTAGGGGTTTCAGTTCACTTATATAAAATAATACGATAAAATAAAACAACTCAATATTTGTTAAGGCGTTTATTTTTTAATTTCTTTTTAAATTTTCCTAATGCTTTGTTTTGCATTGGAGGTAGAATGCAGTTTGCTAACCTATACCCGTGCCTTTTAAAATTTTATTTATGGTACTACACCAATTCATAATTGTAAATCGAACAGTGAAAGCAATAAAACTATTAAGTAGAATAGTTTTGTGTTCGGCACAGTTTATGAAATCAAATGAATACTTGGACAAAATATTCGCTGTATAATTATATGCAATATTCGCTTTATTTGCGTTGCGTTCCAAGTATTCATTTGTTTCTCTGATTACTGTACCGAAACACGTTACTGCTCCTTCGGATGGGTATTTCAGTCGGTTTTTATACTTTGTATACTCCCTGTGACTTATCCAGTCGTGAATACGCGTTTGATTACTTGTTAAATTTTTTAGGCATAAGTCACAGTTTATTTTTAATTTATTTAAAATTTTCCTTACTACCCATCCAGCAGTGTAGGCCCGAGAAAAAACATTGAGACGTTCTCGACGGGCCTGGTCTACAATAGTTACAACGCTTTCAGTTCTAGGATGATCAGGCTCAATATTTTGTTTTTGTT